TAAGAGATATATAATTTGCCCTATCGTAGACCAGAGAGGAGATTGCTTTGGAGTGAAATTATAGGATCTTGCCAAGAAGTCCATAGTCCATTGTCCTGCGGCTTTCGCCTTTCGAGTGTAAAACCATATTTACTTACATGTGAATATGAAATATATATTTAGGCTCATAATCGAAATATTTTATTTGTTGGTTTTTATTGCAGACTTACATGACCTTTTTAAGTTTTATAATACTAAGTTATGCAAACGTTTTCCTCTAAGACGAGAATAATTCTAAGCAGTTTTAACACAAAAGTAAACTTTTATTTCGCATAGACGACTTTTGGTTTTTTTCATGTTATTAGTGACTTATCAAATCGCTCTTTATGCAAATTTGCTTCTTGTTCAGTATTCTTTGGCTTAGGGACTAATGTCCTTCGCTATACATATCATTAAGTCGGAAACTTCATCAAATATAATTAGCTGGAAAGCTTTTGTAGCTTATGCAAAGTAATTTGGCCATTAGCTGACCAACAAGGTTTAATGGAACACTATATTACTATAGCTACGAATCCTTTTATAAGCACACATCATGTTGACTGCTCACATTTTTATCATAAAAATGCATAGACTCTAACTAGAATATATCTTCTTCTATAATCCCAGACTCATGGGATATGCTTTTTGCCTATCAGTCATTATGAGGCTATAACCATCCTGGGCTTGGCAGATCTCACTAGGTCTTTCTTCAGCATATCATCCGATCGCAAATGTATACTCAATTGAGTCTATATAAGAAGTAAGATAGAGCCGGATAGTGTTCTTGGCCTAGTGTTAACGTGCGACTATTACAAGGCTGACACCCAGCTCTGAGGATGTCCATCATATGATGGATGAAAGCTCAGCCCGTTTTCACCCAAAACGAGGGAGGAAGTCTCGTGGACTGCGCCAACATGAATATCGTATGAAAGCCAAACGGCTGCAGTACAACGAGATTCATCCGTCCTCGTCTGGTGAGATCGGCCAACGAATCTCTTCTTCATTCACTTTCATACGAAATGAAAGTCCTCTGATCATCAAGATTTAATGACCAAAGAAAAAGCTCTGATCGAGACTGCATAAGTCCGTAAGCAAGTACGGTTGAGATAATGAGATATGAGCTTGCAAGCATGCCAGTCAAGTTACTAAACCACTTGTCCTAACTTCTCAGTCGAGGGTCATCAACGTTTAACCCTTCAAACAAAGGCATGACTGAGGCTGTGTAATCTGGCACGTCTGGCTTGGTTGATGAGCTGAATCTAACATGTTGGGCTAATGCGGGTGAAGATAGAACCATTACCGAGCAGACAAACTGAATCGCCTTCTTTTGGACGGCGGCTCAACAGGCTCTCTCTCATTCAATGTATCAATTAAGTATACGTAGTTTCGACTTAATTTTCTACCACCGTTCCTCACATTTAACGTATTTCCTAATATGTTAATTTCAATAGCCTCTCTTATCTTTCGACAAAGATTGGGAGAACACAAAAATGCTTGTAAAAGAAGCCGGATCCAACGGTCAGAAGTGGCCGAACATGTGGTAGAAAATGGACATGAACTAGGATGGTCTCAAACTAGTAGGTTTGCTGATTATGGTACGTCTGTGGTCAAAAGAAAGATAAAGAGACTATTGAAATTAATAGCTTATGTGAGCTACGGTGGTATAAAGTTGAGTAGGAGCTGGTTATGTTTGATTGATAAATTGAAAGAGAGAGAGGGTGTCGAACCACAGTCCAAAATAAGGCGACTCAATTTGTCTGCTTGTTGATGGTTCACTCACACTCGATCAACATGTTAGATTAAAAGTTGTTTGACCTTGTTTTTGCAACTTGGTCATATGGACCGTGGACGTGGTACATTCTCAGACGTTTCGCCGACATCGTCAGTGAGTCTCGCCATTCTTAGCACCACACAACAACTCGTCAAAGAGACAAGTGAAGCCGAAACTTTGACCAAACTTGTGCTAAACAGTTGTGGTATCTCCCCTTCTGTCCTGGGCTCTTCATATTTCCTATCACCTCCTATCACACCTTCACTGTTACAATTTGTACCGTGCTTATTTCGATGTATTGTGGTGTGCTCCCTTGAGCGGCATTCATGAACACCCTTCACACTGCACGCTGTCGTTCACACTCACTTTACCCCCTTCACCCTTGTGCTGGGAATATTGATCACAGTCTGCTATATGGTTAAGCAGTCCTCCTTCCCTAGGTCTTATCACAGTCTCTCTCTTGCCCCGTTAGATCCGTCTGCCCTCTCACTGGTTCACATGTTTCACTCGACCTCTGCCACCCCATCTGTGCCATCCGAGGCGTTATTGGCCCTACCCTGCGTCTGGGTAATAATTCGAGACTTAACTCTTCGAGTAATACCACGTCTACGACTTCCTATACCCCAGTCTCTTGTGG